TATACTAACAACATAAATGGTGACTTTATTTCAGGATACTCAAGTCTCGATAAATACTGTAAGTGAACACTCAATCCAGTCAACTCAATCATTGCAGTAGGAAAGCATTAATGTTTGTTTGAAGACGTATATCTGGGAAGGACATAAAATTACCTGACTTACTAAAGGTGAATATAATGTTTTCTTGACGTTTTATTTTTACTGTCCTGTACTATTAATTATTAACAACATGCTATAGATGATGCTGTCGTTTACACGATAGAGTTTAATCAAATTTAATGTGTATATATTAGGCCTATATAGGCCTTAAGGGATATTGAAATTGTAATGTAGGCTAAGCTGTTTTGAAAACTAAAAAAAAAAAAATTATTTTGATTAAAAAAGAAGTAACTGCTAGTCTGTCATTAGCTACATGTATATTACTCCTATTTTAATACAATAATAAAGGGATGTAATACATTTAATAGCGGTTTCTATAATATGCGCTCTATATACTGTATTAAGTTTACCATTATTATTCTTTTTAAAGATTTTGTTTTGTTATATCTTTCAGCAAGAATGAAACTCCGAGAAATGTTAGTACAAGTCACAGTGATTGAATATTTTAAACTAGATTTGTTCAACGGCATAATTCATACTAATTTAGCTTGGTACCATCGGACAAGAAAAGGCATGGTTATGGACAGTTGCTGCTGCAATATCACAAAGAATGCTGGTTTATGCACACCTGTAACACAAATGGTTCTTGAATATTGTTTCATATAATAAACTCTTGTAATAGGACTACATTACGAAAAAAATGCTTATTTGAAGCGGACTATAAAGCAAAGAACTGTAGAATAGCCTTGAATTTGAGGTACAGTATGTTTAGCAGTAAGACATTAGCAAAACGATAATATATGCTAGTAAATGAGACCCTAGGGAAGTAATGTCCCTACCGTATGATGTTTTTTGGTGTTTTAAATTAAAGAAATTATGGTTTGTATATGAACTCATAGTGTATTTTGTAAGTCTGCAGAAGTTGATTAAAGCCATTGTTACCAATTGGAACTGGGACCATTGCAAACCAATTTCAATTGGGGCCAGTTAAAGTTGAAGACCAGTTGAATTGTCCAAAAACACACAACACCCACATTTTTGTTTTATAGAATACACGGATTTTCTATATAAAATCGTTCAATTTATATACACTTTCTATACAATTGTATAGAATTTCTATTCGCATATTTAATGTATTTTTATAGGTTTTTTCTATAAAACGTTTATAGATTTATAAGTGGTTTTTATAAAATTGTTCATAGATTTTATATAGTATTTTTAAAGGCTTTTTTTATATAAAATTTTCATAGACTTTTTATAGATTTTTAATAGAATTTCCATAGTTTTTTTATATAATTTTTATAGATTTTTAAGTCTTTTAATATAGTTTTAATATATTTTTTATAGAGTTTTTATAGTTTTTTTTTTATACATTTTAATACATTTTAAATAGAGTTTTAATAGATTTTTAATATAGTTTTAATATATTTTTAATATACTTTTTATAGTGGGCTTCTATAGTTATTTCTATACAATTTTCTATAGATTTCCTAAACAATTATGTTATAGACATTCTATATTTTTTTTTGATAGAATTCTATAGAATTTTTTTGTATGGTACTAACATTTCTTAAATATTAGTTGGACTCTTGCAGTTTTTAAATCATCTGGCATAACATTAGTAGATATTGACAGTTACCCTACAGTTGTGGTTTCAGTGGCAATCCCTATGTTTTCTATTGGTGTCATCTAAAAGGTGATTGAATAACACGGTTAACCAATATTAGAATAAACATAAAATTCAAAATGGAGTCAATCTCTAACAGATTACTTTTGGAGCCGTGTTTAATATTACAAATAGCGAAAAATGTCAATACTGATATGGAAGGGTAGGGAAAAAATGAAGCAAGCAAATTAAACTGACTGATACGAATGGTAACTACACCAGGACGGTGTGCCATTCTTCTGTACTTTGAGGGAATAGCACGCCAGGAACATGCCTTTAAGGCAATGCCGTAGCCAGTATTTTCTGGTCCGGTCTGGTACAATATAGCGGTGGACCAACTTTACCTGTAAATTAAAATAATGTGGACCCATTTTCTTAAAATTTAGCCTATTTTACGCAAAAAAATTGAAAAAATGTAATGTTGTCACATTGTCTTAAAGTTTACTAATTTTATGCAAAATACCAAAAACCTGGACGCTTTTTTTTTCAAGGTTTCTCTTCAAAATGTGTTAATGAATTAGGCGAGCGAGTGGTTTAAGCCTACGCCTAGGCTACAGTAGGCCTAACCTTAGGTCCACTTAGGTTAGGAGGTCGGTTTTTTTTTTTTTTATCAAAATACAGATTTTTGTTGATAATTTTTTTTATATTTGTAGAAATGATTATATATATATTCAATAATAATTTAATTCAATTCTATTCAGTAACTGGTATTGTAGGGAATGCTTACTAATATTCATGACCTTCTGTAAGTAGACCCATGGGTGTAACTCATGAGTACACCTCAATTTAAAAATATCTAATAATTTTTTAATATCCTACTCCACTTATGTATGTATATATA